ATGTGTCTTTTATGGTTGGGGAGAAGGTTTTGCTGAAGGTATCACCCATGAAGGGTGTTATGAGGTTTGGGAAGAGGGGCAAGTTGAGCCCCCGGTTCATTGGGCCTTTAGAGGTTCTTCAGAGGATTGGGGAGGTGGCTTATAAGCTTGACTTGCCACCCAGCTTGTCGAGTGTGCACCCAGTGTTTCATGTTTCCATGCTCCGAAATTATATTGGAGATCCGTCCCATGTTCTGGATTTCAGCACGGTTCAGTTGAAGGGTGATATGACTTATGAGGTGGATCCGATGGCTATTTTGGATCGGCAGGTTCGAAGGTTGAGGTCAAAGGATATAACTTCAGTAAAAGTGCAGTGGAGAGGTCAACCTGTAAAGGAGGCCACTTGGAAAATCGAGTGGGAGATGCGGAGCAGATATCCACACCTATTAGAGACTCCAGGTATGTTTCTGGACCCGTTCGAGGACGAACGATTATTTAAGAAGGGGAGGATGTAACGACCCGACCGATCGTTTCAAGAGTCATAGCCCCGTTTCCCCCATTTCTGCTTCCTTTTGTGCTTTTCAGCTATATTATGTTATATCGGGTTGGTTGGTTCGGGTCTGAAGTAGTTTCGGAGTGGAATGAGACACTTAGTCTCTAAAGTAGAAGCTTAAGTTGGAAAAGTCAACTAGATGTTGACCTGTGTGTAAACGATATCGGAATTTAATTCTGATAGTTCTATTAGTTTCGTTAGGTGATTTTGGACTTAGGAGCGCGTCCGGAAATTGATTTGGAGGTCTGGAGTGGAATTAGGCTTGAATTGGCGAAAGTTGGAAATTTGGCAATTTTGGTCGGCAGTGGAAAATTTGATATCGGGGTCGGAATGGAATTTTGGCAGTTGGAGTAGGTTCGTAGTGTCATTTGTGACGTGTGTACAAAATTTGAGGTCATTCGAACGTAGTTTGGTTGGTTTCGGCATCGGTTGCCGAATTTGGAAATTTAAAAGTTCTTAGGCTTGAATCCGAGGGAAATTTTGTATTTGGATATTGTTTTGAGTGATTCAAAGGTTCGACTAAGTTTGTATGTTGATATATGACTTGTTGGTATTTTTTGTTGAGGTCTCGAGGGCCTCGGGGTGATTCCGGGTGGTTAACAGATTTGTCGAAGTTGGAAAATGCAGTTGAAGCTGCTCCTACTGCTATTTCCGCATCTGCGGAAGGAGGAGACGCAGGTGCGAGGTCACCGGTGCGCAAGGGGAGTCCGCAGGAGCAGGCAGCGCTGGGTTATGCAGGATGCGCAGGTATGAGTTGGAGGTCGCATCTGCGAGCCCGCAGGTACAAAACCGGGGGCGCAGATGCGGAAAGCGGGGGGACGCTGGGCTGCTTCGCAGAAGCGAAAGGAAAACGCGCAGGTGCGCTTTCGCAGGGGCGGGGTTTTGTGACGCAGATGCGGAACCTGGGCTCCTAAGTGAGTTCCGCACCTGCGATGGATTTTCCGCAGGTGTGGTGGCGCAGAAGCGTGAAATTGTCCGCAGGTGCGAAATGCCTTGGCAGAAACCATAAATAGAACCCTTCGCGAATTTGGTTCATTTCCACCATTTTCAAGTCGGTTTTTGGAGCTTTTGGAGTGATATTTGAAGGGTGATTCAAGGGCTATCAGTGAGGTAAGTTGCTTGAGCCCTAATACTCGTATATATGGTAATTTCCCGTTGTTTAATCATGTAATTAGTGAAAATGAGGGGTTAGGGCTAGGGATTTTTGGAGAGTGATTTAAGGATTAGAAGGACCAAACGATGTCAGATTTTGATGAATTTAGTATGGTTAGACTCGTGAGTGAATGAGTTTTCTAGTTTTGTAAATTTTGTCGGATTTCGAGACGTGGGCCAGGGGGCCGGGTTTGAGCCAATTTCGGGTTTTGAGTCTAATTTGATATTTTCTTGTGGAATTCATTCCTTTAGCATACATTGATGGTATTGTACTGATTGTAAATAGATTCGGAGCATTTGGAGACCGAATCGAGGGGCAAGAGCATTCCAGAGTAGGAGTTCTATACTGTTGAGGTAAGTAACAGTTTTAAATCTGGTCTTGAGGGTATGAAACTCGAAGTTTGGTATAATGTGACTGTTTGGAGGTGGAACCCATGCTAGGTGACGGGCGTGTGGTTGTACACCATGGGGATTGAGACTTGGTCCGTCCCGGGAGACTGTGAAGTCTAATAGCCTTTATTTGTGTTTATATGCATTCCTGTGTTTACTAGAACTTGACTGCCTTTCATGTTAGAAGTCATGCTTAGGCTATATTCCGTTCATGGTAGTTATACTCAGTCATAGTGATTCTTATACATGTTTACCTCAGTCTCTGTTATTTGTTTTTCCCTGATGATATACTGTAACACTTTGATTTGGGCTGCTTTCCCTTTCTTTATTGAGAGCTATGAGACTAGAGAGGTTCATGACTGAGTAAGGTTGAAGGCCTGGTTGTGAGGTATTGTTCTATGGCACGTGAGTTGTCCGTACGGATCCTTATGTTTATACTATAGCACATGAGTTGTCCGTGCAGCACGTGAGTTGTCCGTGCGGATCCAGATATGATATTATAGCACGTGAGTTATCCGTGCAGCACGTGAGTTGTCCGTGCTTATAGCACTTGGGTTGTAGGAGCCCCTCATGAGTCTGAACACGCCTAGTGAGCGCAGGTACCTATTGAGAGTGTGTATTGAGGGCTGAGAGCCGAGAGTGTGAGGTTGAGATGGGTTGAGTGACTGCTGCTTTGAGAGGCTGTACCTGCTTTATTTATTGTTGCACTTGGTTGTATCTGTTGTTGTTGTTGTTGTGAAATTTCTGGAAGATTCATATCCTTTTTACATGAGCGCGAACTGTTTTGACTTATACCACAAGATTTTAAAGCACATTCACTCTTTGCTGAAAACTTTTAAAATGAACTGTACTGTATAGCTCGTCACTGCTTCTCAGTTCCTTATTTATTTCTGTTACTTGCTGAGTTGGTTGTACTCATGCTACACCCTGCACTTCATGTGCAGATCTAGGTGTGTTTGATTCGGAGGTCGTTGAGTCCGGGAAGATCGAGTACCGGAGACTACGAGGTAGCTGCCAGCGCCCGCAGGGCCTTGTCTCTCCTTTTATATATTTCTTTCTATCTTGTATTGATACTTAGACACTGGTTGTATTAGTTTGGTTATCTAGATGCTTATGACTTAGTGACACCCCAATGTCGGGCTATTTTTTCTCACTCATGTTTTTATTTCGGTTTTACACCGTATTTATGAAAAACTCCGGATATTTTAAATGTTTTAATTCACTTCTCTTAAAATTTTGAAAGAGTCTTGGAAAGGTCGGCTTGCCTGGTACCACGATAGGCGCCATCACGACAGGGTTAGCTTGGGTCGTGACAGCATTTTTGCGGCATACAACTAGATCCACTACTAATATTGTTGCAGCGTGTGATCCGATCTAATCATATTACCGTTACGGCGTGCAACCCAATCAAATCATAATAATACTAAAGCGTGCAACTCGATCCAATCATAATACCATCAATAATCAATATCCGCTCACGATGTCCTTGGTGTCAAAATTCTCAATTCTTTTCAATATCCAACTCTCTCACTTATACATATGTGTATGAGATGATATGATTAAGAGGCACCGCAACACAATAATAGAAATGCAGATAAAAACTCACATGGCTAAAAGATGGTTATAGCTAATCATGTAATTTAATTTATCATAACAATTCGCTGAGCAATTTCAACATTGATGAGTCTAGTCATAATATTTAACATGATTAAATTAAGTCATTTGACCACCAAATTACGAGTCAAATAAGAGAAGAATATGACTACGGCTTAATAAGAAAGCTTGATATGGAAAAATAATCCTTTATGTCCAATTCAACAAGTCATAACCTTAAGCATGATTCTAAGATATAATCATGAGTCATCACATAGTCATAAAATCAATGAAACATGGATAATAAATTCACATAATTCAAATAAGTCATATCATAAGTCAATCTCTATCGGATATGGTCATAACCTAGCTGTGCATATACGCTCATCACCTCATATATGTGTGGCTCCTAAATCAAGCAACTAGCAGCACACTACAAAAAAATGGGTAAATTTCAGAGGTTTATTTGCGGAGGGTATAAGTAACCTCCGGAATTTGCATAAATTTGCGGCAATTTGTTATCCCCACAAAATTATACAATGTAGGGGTTGGGGGGGAGGGGGTTGTAAACTTCCGCAACCCTAAAAAAATGCCTAATTTATTTCACACTCCTCTCTCTCTCTGCAGGAAACCATAATCTCTTCAAATTGAAATTCTCACTCTACAGGTATTTTGATTTTGGATATATTGTTAATTTATGTTAGATGCTTTTGGATTCAGCCACTAAATCCCCTCCTGTACCATTTCACCCATTTGATGAACAATATATTTTTTCAGCCATTGTGATATTTTAGGAACAAGATATTTTTTACCAGTTGAAATCAATTCACGTTGGCTGTGGGATTAACATGAGGTTTAACCTTTCTACCAACTGCTTGTTGTAAATAGTGGAATCGTGATTAGATAATGAATATTTCATACAGTTCCCCAATTACTACTTCTTATGTTAGATGTTTTTTGATTTGTACCAAATTTTTCCTTTCTTCATTGTTAATTGAAGTATTCTTTTTTAATAGTTGTGAAAATTTTCGAAAATTTATATACACTTGTGCATGCACATATGGTAAATCATAAGAAACGTTTTACTTTTTTTCTTGTTTTTCACTGAAAAATTGGTTAACTTTGCTGAAGTTCTAAGGATTTGAAGTCTAGTATTTTTTTTTTCTTACAATCAGTTTGCATTTTTTTCTTTACTTTTGGTTGAGCCTACAAAAATTTGAAATCACATTTATTATTTAGAGTTTTGACATTAATATTACCCTGTTTGTCTAGGTAAAATACTTTAAAGTTGGCCAGTTCCTTTTACTGTTTAGGGTTTCTTTTTTCTATTTTTTATTTTGTTGTTTTGGGTAAGTAATTTAGATAATTTAAATTGCATGATGGAAAATCTAGTTCATGCCGGTTTCTTCTAATTCTGGATTTTTGAATTTGATTATAGGCACAACATTTTACTTAACATATAAGAATTATTGACTTTTACTTTTCTGTCATGGAGTTTGATTTGAAAAATAAAAACTAAAAAGTTCTCTGTATTTGTAATTCTGCTTTATGTAAGTTTTTAATTGGTCAAATATTTTTCTGTTTCGAGTATAATTTTTATTGTTTTGATCAAATAGGACATAGAGGCTAATTTATCGAAAATTATAGTAGACGGTTTTGGAATTCTGTCGATATGGAGGTAAGAAATTTATTTTGTATGTTTCAATTCTTTTTTAAGTATTTTTTGTTTATTCAAGTTGTTTAGTAATGTGTAAGTCGTTAGTTCTCAAATAACTTTAGATATAGAAATAGTTCCTTCATAAATTGTAAGTTGTTTAGTACTGTATAAGTCTTTAGTCCATAAATAACTTTAGATATACTTATAAATAGGGTTGGATAAGAGTTGCTCCATATTTCTGCTTCTTTTTTTCCTGATCTATTGGAGTTTTCCAAAATTTCTATCTTCTATGAGATTTCTGTATTTATAGGCCACATATTTTCTTATACAATAAAGGAATTTAAATAACAGATTCTTCATATATGAATATTTAGAAAGCCAAGGAACACCAGTGGATATTTGCTTGGTTTAAATAAGTTTTTAGATTTTGTATTTGCTAATCCTATTGTAGGAGATAGAATAAAATGTCCTTGTCCAAATTATAGATTCGCAAAGTGGCACGCTAGAGATGTAGTGCTTGATCATTTGATTTGCAAACCATTCCCTCAAAATTATGTCACTTGGGGTATTCATGGTGAAAGGAATGCGTTGCCTAATTCTAGAAATATTGAGGTTATACAAAATACATTACCTCCTGAAAATCCTGTGAATTACTGATCAATGAAGCATTTGGGGGCCTAAGTCATGATGGGGTTGATGTAGGTCCATCACAAATAGTGGGTGGTGAAGATAGGTTAACAGATGAGCCTGCTTCAAATGACAAAGACTTTTTCGAGTTGCTTAGAGATGGAAGTCAAGAATTGTATAAAGGATCCAAGTACTCAAAAGTAGAATTTTTATTAAAATTGTATCACATAAAGTGTTTGTCTGGGCTAAGTGACAAGGGAATGACCATGATACTAGATTTGTTGAGGGACGCATTTACATTTGCAAGGACCCCTCATTCTTTTTATGAGGCCAAGAAAACCATTAGTAAACTTTGTCTCGATTATATCAAGATAGATGCTTGTCCAAATGATTGTATGTTATTTTGGGGGAATGATGCTAATGAGAAAACATGTAAGTATTGTCACACTTCTAGGTGGAAGCCTAACAAGAAGAGAAATGAAGATCTTGTGTCTGCTACAGATTAGAAGAAAATCAAGAAGCCTGCAAAGATTTTGTATTACTTTTCATTAAAACCAAGGTTGCAGAGATTGTTCATGTGCTCTAAAATAGAAAAACATATGAGATGGCATGCTGAGGATGGTAACAGAGATGGAATCATGAGGCATACTAGAGATGGTGAGGCATGGAAGAGGTTTGATACAATTTTTTTTGAATTTGCTTTTGAACCTCGAAATATTCGGCTAGGCCTAACTAGTGATGGCTTCAATCCTTTTGGTACAATGAGTAATAATTATAGCATTTGGCCAGTTATTTTAGTTCCATACAACCTTCCTCCTTGGTTGTGTATGAAACAACCAAATTTTATTCTCTCAATGATCATTCCTGGTCCACGTACGGCGGAAAATAACATAAATGTTTACCTACATTTCCTTATTAAGGAGTTGAATGAGTTGTGGAGTGAGGGTGTCGAAACTTTTGATTCATCAAAGAATGAGATTTTTAGATTGCGAGCAGCTCTTATGTGGATAATTAGTGACTTTTCTGGATTCGATATCTTATCTGGCTGGAACTCACATACTGGTTTAGCATGTCCCACTTGTAATTTTGATGCAGAACCTTGTCGGCTTCGCCATAGTAAAAAGTGGTGCTTTATTGGTCATCGTAGATTTTTAGCAAAAAATCATAAATTTAGATTGATGAGGCATCACTTTGATAGAAATGTGGAGGAAATAAACCCATCAAGAAAGTTATCTGGATATGATATTTTACAATAACTGAAAGATATTGATGTTACATTTGAAAAACTGACTGAGTTGAATGAGAGAAGGAAAAAGATCTAGACAAAGAAATATTGGGCAAGGTGCAGCGCAACAATGGAGGAAAAAAATATATTCTTTAATCTTCCATATTGGGAATTCAACTCGTTGTGCCACAATTTAGACGTCATGCACACCGAAAAGAATGTGTTTGACAATATTATATATTCATTGCTCAATGATAAAGACAAGTCAAAAGATAATATTAAGGCACAAAAAGATTTACAAGATATGGGTATAAGGTGTGATCTTTGGCCTGATGAGAATGATAATTGTCGGCTTGCTGTGTTTACCATTTCAAAGGAAAAGAAAGTGGCCTTTCTCACAACTTTAAAGAATATTTCATTGCCGGATGGTTACTCGAGTAATATTTCTGATTGCATTGATCTGGACCAAAGGAGAATCTTTGGATTAAAGAGTCATGATTGATACATTATGGAACAATTGCTACCAATAGCAATTCGCAATGTGCTGCCAAAGGAGGTTGTTGTAGTCTTAGTAGAGCTTTCTTCTTTTTTCAGAGAACTTTGTCTTAAAAGTTTGAGTTTGGCGGATCTTGAAAAGTTACAAGATCGCATTGTGCTCACACTTTGCCACATGGAGATATTATTCCCACCATCGTTCTTTACTATAATGGTTCATTTAACTGTCCATCTAGTAGATAAAGCAATACAAGGTGGTCTGGTACATTACATGTGGATGTATTTTGTTGAAAGTTAAAATATTTCTTATTCGAAATTTTGATATATGTTATATTAATTCAAGTTAAGTGCTTGTTCTAAACCTATTTCATTTTATGTTATAGGTTGTTAGGTCATTTTAAGTCCCTCGTAGGGAACAAGGCACAACCAGAAGGTTCCATAGCTAAAGGTTACATTGTTGAAGAAGCTCTAACTTTTTGTTCTCGTTACTTTGAGAGGATTGAGTCAAGGCTGAATAGGCCTAGACGTGTAAATGATGAACCAAATCTTAATGAGGCTTCTGAAATGTCCTCTATCTTCCCTCTACAAGGTAAACCAGTTGGAAGCTCCTCAACATTCCCCTTGACTCCATTGGTGAAGACGCAAGCTCATCGATATGTGTTATTTAATTGTGTAGCAGTGAATCCATTTATTGAGTAAGTAAATAAAATTGATATGAATAACGGTAAAAGTTTAGATTAAATTAATTAAAATTGATATAGTTAGCTCCTTTGAAGTGAGTTTAGGGATCACATAAAAAAGAGCACAAGAGGACGGAGACCTTCAGCATCAGATTTAGAGAGGAAGGTTAATAAAGAGTTTCCTTATTGGTTCCCAAAGCGGGTGAGTGAATGGTATAATAATATTTGCTTTACGTAGCTATTCTCCTTGGATTTAATATGCTTGACTAAAATAAGTTTGTTATTATTAGATTATGAACCCAAAAATTGCAGACACCATCTCTACTGATATAAAGTTTCTAGCACGAGGTCCAATGCCAGATGCTAGAAGGTTCACTGCTATAACATTAATGGATTCAAATTTTGAGTTTTGTCTAGAGATCAAGGATTAAAAACTCAAAATAGTGGAGTTTTTCTTACCTCTGACACCTCTTGTGTTGCATCTAGTGCTGATAGAAGTGCAAGGCAAGCAGACTTGTCGTACTATGGGAAGTTAGAAGATATTATTGAGCTTAATTATTTTCTATTAACGGTTGTGCTCTTCAAATACCAGTGGGCTGACACTACTCGTGAAAGAGGGTTCAGAAAGATGCTTGGAATTTTAACTTTGTTAATTTTTCTAAACTGAATCATATTGGTGATCGTGAGGATGATGATCCTTACATTGTAGCATCTCAAGCAAATATGATTTACTATATTGATAATGAAACTGATAAAGAATGGAGTGTGGCTGTACATCTAAAGCTGAGAGATTTATATGATATGGGAGAGGTTGATGAAAATGAAATATATGAGAATCAACCATACCAACAACAAGAACTTGAACAATTTTTTGATGTTGCTTATGAGAATATCCAAATTACAATAGATGAGCATATGTCTGAATAGGCATGTCAATTTTTGTGTATCTTTGTTTGTTTATTTTTTCTTATATATATATATATATATATATATATATACACTTTATTTTTTATTTTGTTTTCTATCACTTTTTTTGTTGATTGTAGATATGTCGGAGACCAAACGTTTCTAGAACCTGCAAAAGTCAGTCCAATCAGTGCCCCCTTCACAACCTATTGATGTGACACAAGATATGACATCACAATTGGGTCCTTTATTCCCGACTACATCGCACCCGACTCCTTCATTTCAGGCAACATCACTACCATCTCCTTTATTTCAAGCCACAAGACAGCAAACCGCTTCATTTTAGGCCACAACAGTGCCTACTCCTTCATTTCAGGCCATAAGACATCAAACTCTTTCATTTCAGGCCACGAGGCTGACAACTCCTTCCACAAACGACTCTTTCATTTCAGGCAACATCACTACCAACTCCTTAATTTCAAGCCACAAGACAGCAAACCACAAGACAACAAACCACTTCATTTCAGGCCACAACACTGCCAACTCCTCCTTTTCAGGCCACAAGACAACGAACTTTTTCATTTCAGGCCACGGAATAGACAACTCCTTCCATTCAGTTGACTCCTTCGTTTCAAGAAACGTCACTATCAAATCCTTCATTTCAGCCTCCTGTTAGTCCCACACCACCAGAAGTAACATCCAATAAGCGTGCTATACGTGAGTCTTCACATCCTTGGACTGTCGATGGAATAGGTAATCATTATCCTTTCGTTAAAATTTTTGCTTACAATTTCTGGCGTGGTTGATGTATAGGACATTAAAGTATAACCGAAATGTATTACTCTGTAGTCTTCAATTAGTAGTAAGGAGCAATCTATGAGGTAGGCTAAAGTTGTTACTGTTTGTTTTCCCTCTCAACTCCTCTTCTTTCTTCCTCTGTTCTTCTCATCCTTGTTTCTACTACTTTCATATATGTCCCTTTCAGAATTGTTGTTCTTTACTTTCCTGGTCATAATCATTTACATCAGTGATTAAAATTTATAAGGGGTATGTATGTGTGAATCAGATCGTTACATTGGTGCTTTTACTGAGAGTCGAACTGGCTCGAAACCAGCTCATAGTTTTATCTATTTTATGAAGTTCTGCAATATTTGTGAGTGCATTCTTTTGGTGTTTCTGTAGGCATTTATTTTTGTCCGTGACATTTACAATGTTTTCATTCCTTCTATTTTACAATGGCTTAAAAGGCAAACTGTCACGACCCAAAATCCATTAAGGTCATGATGGCGCCGGACACCACTGTCAGGTAAGCCAACAATAATTACTTAATTGGGTTCTCATTTTAATATTTTTGAAATCATATTTTTCCTTCAACTTAAATAGTAAGGAATGGAGATTTACAAAGTAAATAATAATACTTTTAACAAATTCAATATAGAACAACCCATAATTATGATGACCTAAAAAGTCATCTTTAAATTTAATAATTATTTTTATGATCTAAGACCTCAAAAAGTACTATTTATCATTCTTCGACTTGCGTGCGTAATCCGTATAATTTTTCGGAAAGTTTTATATGAAACAAATTGACTAAAATATGAAATACGGCCTTAAAACTCAACTGAGTTGACTTTGGTCAACTTTCTAAGTAAACGGACTCTGATCAGTATTTTAACAGTTCCAGTAGGTCCGTATTGTAATTTGGGGCTTGAGCGTATGCCCGAAATTTAATTTGGAGGTCCCTAACTTGAATTATCGCCAGCTGGCGAAAACTAGAAGCCTAAAGGCTTAAAGATTTTAAAGTTTGACTACAAATTGACTTTTATTAATATCGGGGTCAGATTTGAGTTCTGAAAATTTTTATAGGTCCGCTATATCATTTATAACTTTTCTGTTGAATTTGGTGAGAATCGGAGTTGATTTGACGTGATTCGGACGTACGGTGGTGAAAATAGAAGTTTTAAAGTTTTCTTAGAAATTTTATTTGATTTGGTATCTGATTCATAATTCTAGGTGTTAAATTGGTGTTTTGATCGGGCGAGCAAGTTCGTATGAGGTTTTTGGACTTGTGTGAATATTTGGTTCGGAGCCCCGAGGGCTCGGGTGAATTTCGGATGGTTACGGATCAAAAATTTGGACTTGAACAGCTGCTGTAATTTTCTGATATCTGATTCTGTTTTTCTTCTACGCGATCGCGTGAATGTGTCTGTGATTGCGTAGGCTTAGTTGGCTAGTAGAGTTTTGTTCTATGCGATCGCGTGGAGATATCCGCAATCACGTAGGGATAACTGGGGGCTGCTGAATTTGTTCTACGCAAACGCGTGATGAGGGCTGCGATCGCGTAGAGTTGGAATCGTGTGCTTCGCGATCGCGTGAAAGTGTCTGCGATCGCGTAGAGTTAATTTGGGCAGTGGAAAAATAATTCTTCGCGATCGCGTGTGAATGGGGTTTCAACTCATTTTTTACCATTTTCGATTATGAGCTCGGGTAAAACGAGTTTTGGGAGATTTTTACGGGAAAATATTAGGGTAAATGTTCCTTATCCTATATTGATTATATTTCATGATTCCATACTCATTTACATCATGAATCCGTGAATTTATGGAAGAAAAATTAGATTTTTATAAAATCTTCCAAAAATATAAAATGAAGATTTGAAAGCCAATCCGATGTCGGAATTCGATAATTTTTATATGGTTGAACTCACCTCGGAACGGGTGTTCGGATTTTGTTAGTTTTTTCAGGATTCGAGACGTGGGTCCCACTATTAATTTTTAAAATGAATTTCAGATTTTTATCCGAAAAATTTATAAATTCATATGGAATTAATTCCTACGATTTGTATTGAGTATATTGAATTGTTTATGACTAGATTTGAGGATTTCAGACACGAATTCGCGAGGCAAAGGTTTATTGGATTCTTGAAATTTGGTTGCAAAGCGAGGTAAGTGTCGTGTTTAACCTTGACTTGAGGGAGTAGGACTTAATTGTCTATTTGCTACGTGATTTAATATACGGGTACAACGTATATGTGAGGTGACGAGTAGTTATGCATTGTGGTTGATTCAAAGCATGTGAGTGAAATTTTGTTTATTGTGAATAATTGTCTATTTAATTAAGATATTCCTGCTTAAGTTTATTATTGATTATTTGATCATTATTCGTGAAATTATTATTCATTTAATTATTGTTGAATATTTGGAAGGTGAAGTCGGTATTTTGGTATTGAATTGATTGATAAGTGTATATCCCCGCACTTAAATACTCTTCCGAATTTATATTATTATTTTCATGATAAGGAAGAGTGTAAAGGCACGAAGGGTGTTGCCGTGCCATTTGTGAGTGTAAAAGCACGAAGGGTGTTGCCGTGCCATTTGTGAGTGTAAAAGCACGAAGGGTGTTGCCGTGCCATTTATGAGCGTAAGAGCACGAAGGGTGTTGCCGTGCCATTTATGAGTGTAAAAGCACGAAGGGTGATGCCGTGTCAAATGAGAGTAAAAGCACGAAGGGTGGTGTCGTGCCATTTTCGTATTATCATTTACTCATTTTATTGTTGATAAATTAATTGGCTGCTAAGTAACACTCCTCCTGCTGAAATTATTATATCCTTCCCCTTCACATGTTCCCTCCCAATTTATAAATTGTTATTTGTTGTATTATTGTTACTTTGTATTTGTATATACTTGTACAAGTGATTTACATACGTGTCTTGTCATAGCCTCGTCACTACTTCATCGAGGTTAGGCTCGGCACTTACCAGTACATGGGGTCAGTTGTTGTCACGCCCAAAAACCGAGGAGCGCGACCGGCGCTCTACCGAGTGAACCCGACTGAGCAAGCCTGTTAGATTCCTTTTACCCAAACTCATTCATGAATAAAGGGAATATATATTTTTCTTAATTAAACAATAAAGTGGTCATGTCTGCAATTACCAATTTCTTACCATAAGTTTTACCATTTTTAAAGTCTCAAATGGACAAGTAATACAACCATAACATAACATAGTTTGTCTTTTCCAGCACCAATACATAACCCACACTATGTCTACGGAGCCTCTATAGATAAAGAAGGGTACAATGATAATGCCGGAAATAAGACCCCGGCTATACCTCAACCATAATACATAAAGAACAAAAGATACATGACCCCGGGATGAAGTGGGGCTCACCAAGTCAGCTGGAAAGAATGTGTACTGCTATCACTAATCAATGTCTCCTGCTGTGGAACCACCTGCATCCATTTAAAGATGCAGCTCCCCCGACAAAAGGGACGTTAGTACCGTCGAATAGTACTAGTATGAAAACTAAACACCAATTTAAGAATTTAGAAATACAAGGTAATTATGATGAACCAGTGCGGCAATAGAATAATATAGATAACCATCTCAACCATAGCAAGCTTATTAAAAGCTATCAATAATATTTATAGGATTTAAGATAAGATCCTCTATAACCATCTTCACACAAAGCGGCCCCGCTGCCTCACCCGATGTAGGCAGGTGGAGGTGTACGTATAATACCACCACTCAAATCAAGCGGCCCTGCCACCTCACCTCAATGTATGTGGGTGGATGTATAACCACAGTTCCAAGAACCTACACAAAGCGGCTATGCCGCCTCACCCCAATGTATGCGGGTGGTGGTGCCACAACAATACTAAAACCATACACAAAGCGGTCGTACCGCCTCACCCCAATGTAAGCGGGTGGAGGTGCAGTCCCACAATATCATAATCCCTACACAAAGCGGTCATGCCGCCTCACCCCAATGTATGCGGGCGGAGGTGTATCACAATCACAATCTCTATACCATAATCCCCACACAAAGCGTTCATGCCGCCTCACCCCAATGTATGCGGGCGGAGGTGTATCACAATCACAATCTTTACACAACTTGGCATAATAACGTTCACATAAATCACGACTAGAAGTTATAACATGTGGATACATAATCCATAGTTTGGGACACATACTCAGTTAATAAT